ATCACAGTATAGCTGTACAATAAGGCAGGAAGCACAGCAGTTGATGGTAAACTGAGATGACTTTAAGGCTCAGCGGTAGGGCAGCTGAAATTAATAAAGGCAGCATCACATTACTATTTAAGTAGAGACAAGGAGATTAGCAATCAGATCATGATTTAGTTAGCCTCAGCTGTGGCAAAGGCCTCAGAAAGTTAAAAGCAGGGCAGGCAGAGCTGGTAAGTTTGGCCTGTGGAGAGGGGAGTGAGCAGGATGCTCTTCAGGGGATGTGTAGGGAGTTGGTTACCGTATGACTGCTCTGAGGAGGATCATCAGCTGAGAACTGTCTTCGCTGCAGGGAAAACCTCTAGCCTGGCAGGTGCTTCAGACCAGGAACAGAGCCATAGCTTAGCTTTTGCTCCCTGTTGCTCTTACTAGTTTGTTCTGTGACTGTGCCCATTGGGGATGCTTCCTAGGCATGATTTTCTGCATCTTCTGGGAGCACCGTGATTGAAGGATTTGAGCTCACTGCATCTGCATAAAGAGATGATCTGTTGAGCTTTCTCCAGCACCCCCCATCCCTGGACAGCTCTGTATGAGCAACCAGAGCAGGATCTTTAAAGTAAGCATCCTAAAGTATACCAGTATTGCTTATAAAATAAGGGTAAAAATGTCCCTTTGCCTATTGCATGGGAATCCTCATAGCATGGGCTCTGCATTGGGAATATGTACTGTGTGGAAATCTTTTGTGTTTAGTCAGTACTTTGAGGTCAAGGCAGTCATACATAACTTCTTTCTTAAATCTATTCTGAAGTACTTGACTTTGTGTTTAGGGAAATGCTAAGTTGGTGCTGAAGTCTTATCCACATTAGTTCAGTCCCATTTCTGCAGGGAAAGCTGCTACTGTAGCAAAATATATGAGTGTATGGAGAAGCCGGTGTGGGAGGAATAGGTTTATCCCAAGTGCATCATGCAGTATTCCTCCTTTAAACGCAGGAGGATCTGACTCCCCTTGCTACACAAGATTGAGCTTAGAGAGTAGGTTTTGAGTTTGATTCCTGGTAAATTCTGTGAATTATAGAAAGCAAATGCTCATGGCAGGGATTGTGCTTATCTGTGCTGCATTTTTTATCTCTTTTCATGGTTTACTTCTTTCTCTTACTGGTTATAGCCTGGAGCAGTATCATTGAAGGAACTTCAGACAAAGAAAAGTATCAAGGTTGTGGGTTTTTTTTTAAATTCTCCTCCACCCTGACTTCACCCCACGCTCTAGTAAGCACTGGGAATATTGCCTGCTGGGAAGGATTGTTTTCTCTCTTTTTTTCTGTTGCAAAACTGAAAAGTTCTTAGTTTATTTCATTGTCTTTCTGCCTTCTCTTCTGACTTATCAGGGTGTCCCACCATCCTTAATTGACAAGGAGATCTACTGGTTGTGAGATTTTTCTACAAACTGAGGCTTTCAGCATGATTGCTGCATCATAAGAGGTAGCAGTGCTGGAAGACTGTGATAAAATTGCTCTGTAGATGGAAATAAGTGATGTTAAAATATATGATATGACAAAAGTAGGGAGTCTCTTAAAAGTCATTTGCAGAGTTTTGCCTCTGGGCTAGCAAGAAAAATCCTGTCCTATGATTATACAGTTCCCTCTTCAGGTAATAGCTCTGTAGTGAGCTTTGGGGAGAAAGATGGGTAAATCCTTGTTCCTTGTTAAAAGCTGCCTTCACCTAAAATTTTGTCTGTAGGCCTCCTAGCCACATTGCTTGCTGTATGAATGACAAATCCCAATATCCCACTTTATGCCCAGACATGAGACAGGAGGTTCCCTGGTGAGAAGCAGCCACTCTGCCGGCTGTTGTCACCAGCATAGCTGTTTGTGTTCAAGCTGGTCCCTTTGCAATTAGCGGAGAGACACAGGTGGTTTCAGGACTCTGTGGACCTGACCTGGCTTGCCTCTTGATTTTTGAGATGCAAAGGGAGCCCAGTTCAGGTGTAGACAGCTGTACTAGATGAGACAAATCACCCATTGCCCTGGCAACTCCCTAACCCTGCTGGGGTGTGCTCTGTGTTAGAGGAGAGAACTTGGTGCTGGCTGTGCATGTCTCTGTGCTGCTTTTGTATTTAGTTCGGGCAGGTACCCAAAGGTGCAGCTGCTCACTGGTGCTTCTCTCCTGTAGAAGGAGACCCAAGGAAATGCAGAAACCAGGGAAGGAGAGATCTGTGTGTCTCCAAAGTGCTTTCTGACCCTTTGGTGTCTGGAAAAGGTATTTGTTTGCTGGCACTGCAAGGCATCTTAAATGAGTCTGGGGAGCAGGGGTGCTCCTGCAGGAGAGGATCTGTGCTGTGAGGAGAGACAGGAACACTGCTGCTGTCAGACTGTGTTAGAGCCAGGAGGAAGGTGGTGAGTTTGTGTATGGCTGAGAGCTCTCTGCTTCACTCCCTTTGAGCCTGGGCATGAGCCTCAAACTTCAGCAAAACCAGGTCAGGAAAAAAAAGCACATTTAAGATAACATTTTTCCTGCAACCTGTCCCTAGGCAAGCATTGACTCAGAAAAGCCTGATATTATGAAGAGGGCAGTTGTTAAAGCTTGAATCAGACCTGATCATGTGTCTATGTCATATTAGTAACTAAGGCATCCTGGGCCTTTACGCTGTGTTTTACTATGGTGACTCTCAGGCTTCTGGTGCAATGGTGTTTGTGTCTATAGCAAAGATGCAAGGGTACCTCAGGGGATCTTGATGCTGTTCTGATAAACTCTAAAAATGACATGAAGCTCCTAATGATGAACAGATATGCTCTATATTTTTCTTGGTAGGCTGTTTAGTGAAAGTGGGAGGGGTTTTCATGTGGTTCCAAAAATATTTGCATGATTGAGATATAGTTTGCACCCCAAAGAAGGAAAGGGCCTTCTATCCTGCAGCTAAATCATCTTCCCAAGAAAGGGAAAAAGGTCAAGGTTGTTTTATATCTCTACTTCTCTTATCCTTGAGGGGCTTTGAGACAAGATCTCCCCTCTTCCACAGCACACAGCCTCAGGCTGCAGAGCATCTTCTAAATCTCTCCTGCTGTGAGCTCTTCCGTTTTGTGCAAAGTACTTAAATGTTTAAAACTTAACCAGAGAGTAAAAATGAGGCTAAGACTCATTCAAAGACTGAAATGTAGGTCTTATATCAGAGAGTGCATATTAGTGCCTTTGCTATTGTGGTATTAGATAAAATGGAGGAAGGGGACAGGCTCTAGGAGGGTGGTGCAGTCATCTGTGCCTGAGAATACTGCTTTTAATTTCCTCTAGCTTTGATGTGTTTGCTAGAAAAGCAAGTTAAATCAAGCTTCTGCATTCAACAAAATAGTTCATTTTGGTAAGAAGAAAGCAAAACACTTAGCTCAATCTAAGTCTCAATCTGAGATCTATTGCCTTGACTGACAACTCTTAGTAGATGGCCAGTACGATTGTACTTATTTACTGTCCCAGAGTTGAGTCTTGCTGGGAGAAAGCTGGCCTGCAGTCTATAACACTCATTACTATGAAATCACTTTTTTAAAGGTAGCATAGAAACCAGCTGATACTGATTTATTCAGTGGCTTTTGCAGCTAGGAAATAGTACCCAACTCTCCCCTGGCTGGTGTTGCTGAAGCTGAAATCCTTTGCACCTGCAGCCTGTCTGCATCCAAGGCCCCCCGCTTGCTGCAGGGGGGTTTGCCTGTGCGGAAGCGCAGACTGAGAATGCTGTCCTCAAATGGAAGTTGTACAGCGTGGTGCAAAATCGTTAAGAGACAGGGGCTCTTAATGGAAACACTTAACACACAACGTGACCGGAGTTATATAAGGGCTATGGCTTATTAAACAGCCTCACTAGAGGCATGAAAGGCGGGAGGCTGACAAGATTTTGGTATGCTACACTGGATTTTTTCCTGTCTATTGAGCCAGCAATAACTAGGTCTTATTTATTTACTTTTGGTGGGTAGTCACATAAAACTACAAACTCCCGTCACAAGGAAGATCTCTGCCATCCAGCTAGTGTGTCTGTTCATGTGTAGCCAGCTAGCATGCTTTCTAGAAGCAATGCCTGTGACAAATTGAGACTCATGATTAAAACTGAATTTATTTTTTGACCACTTAATTTGTGCTTGATCTGTTGGACGGCAGGGAGACAGGCAGTAGTGCTGCAGACCTCTGTCATGTGAAGTTCAAATTGTTTCTGCTTTTTTTTGTTTTCCTTTCCCTCTTCAGCACAGGTATAAAATGTTGCAGAGGCAATAGGGAAGCCCCTAGCCCGTCCATGGTTGGCTCATGGTGTACAGGGGCTGGGAAAGGACCCTGCTAGAGACAAAGAGTGATTCTCATCTACCAGAGTATGTGGCACATGGTTTGGCAAGGAGGAACATGCGGGATTTTAAAACAGAGGCGTTTTAAGGTGCCCATAAATGCTTCAGAGGTCATTTTTGGAGGTGTCTTGCATCTGTTCCTTTCAGGTTTTGCTTCCAGAGTCCCACACAGTTGGACTTATGCAGCCTGATTCAGCACTTGGTTACTTTGGTTTTACACCACTATAATACCAGTGATTAAAATAGATTTTCATTGGCATAAAACTAGAACTGCATGATAGTGAATCAACCATACAGAAAGCAAGGTAGTTGGCTTCACAGCCAGAATAAGAAACAATAAGCAAATTCTTTGCAACACTGTTAGCAAATACTCTTCTGAAGGAGTGGTGTATTCAGAATACATAAGCTATTTAAAGACTTTCTTTTGGTAGGTAACTTTCAGTGAAGCGATGTTCCATAAATCTGCTACTTTCTGCTGCAGCAACTACGCATTGCATTTTACCTGCTCATCTGATCTCAATTTTATTTGCCTGTACGTCTATGTATATATGAATATTTTACAACCATGCTTGAAAGGAATCACACAAAGTTGTCTTATCCGCCAAGCACTTCTACATTTACTCAGGGCTTAATGGGGGCCAAGCAAATTGGGTCTCTTGCTACTTGGTATATCTAATAATAATAATTATTTTTTTGCAGAACCCCAGCTGAAAGGAATTGTGACAAGGTTATTCAGCCAGCAGGAATCTTCCTGCAGATGCACCCAGATGGTACAATTGATGGGACCAAGGACGAAAACAGCGACTACAGTAAGAAAAATTGGCCTGTTTTGCAACCCAGTTACAATCAAATGCATCACCTAGTGGGTCTCGCTTGTGCAGCTTTATTTTTGAAAAGATCAAATTAGGAGGAAGCCAGCTGTTTTCTGCATGTTCTTTCTATCTATCCTTCCCCTTTAAATCTTGCCTGTATAATTTCATATGTTTCCTCCCTGATCTTCTTCCCTCCTGCCCCGATTCTGTAGCTGCCATCTGGGTGGGGTGGAGAATAAAACCCATGATTTGAATTGCTGCCAGAAGAGAAAGGAGATTATATTTATACACATACCACGTGGGTAAAGGATACGGGGAATTCTCTCTCCAAGGAGAAGAGGAGAAAAATCTTTTTTCACTATTTTATCCTGAAAAATTCAGCAAGCATCAGGAATGTCCAGGCTGGAGAAAACCAGCTGTTCCCTAAAGTCTAGTGCTTTGAGGCTATTGTAAAGGTTGAGGGTATTGAATGACCTTTCCAAAGGAGGTCGTCTTCCAAAAACCTTTGCAAAGGGGTTGGGTTCATGCCGTCCAACAAAGGACAGTGAAGTGCAGCAGAGCCATGCAGCTTTAAAAATAATGCTCGTGTGCAGGAGCCATATTGGTCTAAACAAATGCAAAGCAGTAGCCAATCTTCCTTTTGCAAAAGAAGTAGTTTTGTCAATACCAAAGCTCCTCAAAAGGTTAAAAAAGGTGCAGGATATTTTCTACAGCATCTCTTCATTTCATAGGCATCAGATTGACGCTTCTGAGTAGGTAGTAATGAGTTCAGGTTCTTGGTGCCACAAACTGCATCAACAGAACAGGACTCAAGTCTTGATTTGTGTCATCCTGTGTTGGTTTGAAGCTCCCTATGCCACTACTGAAGGGACATCATATCTAGCCTGTCCAGCATGGAAGATGTCTTCCCAGACATTACTAGAGAACAGAAGTTCATCTATGTGGTAGGATTGATGGAAGCAAGCTTCATGTACTTTGTGAAAGGAGGAACCTTCTTAATTTGGGGACAAATCTTGTTCTAACTCAAAGAAGCTCCTAGCTGGATTGAAGGTATTGTTCCTTCAGGAAGGCAGGGTCTGGGCTGCAGGTGAGGGATGTCTGCAGTGATGCAGCACATGTAGCAGGGCATTGATGTTGTCCTGTGAAGGTACACTTGCATAAGGGTGCACGGTGGCTACAGCCCCACATCCGTGGTGTTTGCCCTATCCCCAAGAATCTGGCAGAGTGCTGTGGCAGGAGTGTTGTGTGTGGTGGGGCTGCTTTGCTGCAGCCAGCTCAGGGCTGGGGTCCGTGCATGAGAGAGGAGCTTTGGGAAAATGACAACTGAAATTGTGAGGGGCTGCCAAAGCCCTTGTGAAACGACTCAAGAGGCTGCAGTTGCCAGAAACTTGGCCTGTATCAGGGTGTCAGGTTTTAGTCCCTTTTTTCATATGCTGGTGTTGAACAAATTGAATGCCACAAATCTCAATGACACAGCTTCTAATTTATGTTGGAGCAGGAAAATGTGTGGACCTCCACACGCATACTTTTACTCTGTGAGAGACTGAGATGGTCTCTTCCTATAAGAAGAGTCTGGCCTTGTGATTTTCTCAGGCAGACAGCAACACATGCTATGAGTTCAGTGGGCTTTAGTGGGTGAATAATGACCAAGTGTTGGGTCATATTAGCTGCTTTTTCTTAAAGAAAGAAGACATAGGGTGTTCTCAATCTGCAGAAAATCCCATTGGAGGCCTATTTATCAACAACATGGGAAGAGCTACTAGGGATGACAGGGATTCATTACCCTCATCTATCAGTGAGGACTGAACAACAAAGTAATGGGCTTAAATGGAAGCAGGGATGAATTTAGGTAAATGGCAGAGGAGAATAAAATGTAAGAGCAGTTCCACAATATTTCAGGCTGGCAGAGGAGATGAGGGAAGCTGCTGCTGGCTGCACCTTGGTGGGTGCCGGGAAACCTCCTGAGTCCCCAATGACTGAGGCTGGGCCCCAGTTGCACAAACAGCTCTTATTTATATATCCCATTAGAAAGGTTAGAGATCAGTTTGGCAAGGTGCTGAGTACTTGTGAGCCACTTCCACCCAGTCGTCTTAACTGGAAATAGATGGGCTGAAGGGCACTTCTAGAGTATAAATTTATCTGAGATGGCAGCCCTGCCTTGGCAGCTTGGTGGGACAGGAGGCATCTAACTGAAGTGTGCCAAGCCACTTGCTCAAAGTCATAGGCTATGCTGGAAAGTTTAGTGATGTTTTTGAGAGAAGATAGAAGCAAAAAAATTCCCCATCTTCTGATCTCAGGGGATACCAAAAGAGGAAAAAATACAACCTGATAACATTTGACTCCTGAAGACGAAATGAAGAACGTGCTTTATTCAGTTTTGTTTAACTTTTTACCACATATTCTCCTTTATGAATCTCCAGTTTGAGTCAATGTTTTATATTAGATGAAGCTTTCAGTTATAGCTTCGAAACAAAATCACATTTTTCACTTTGGAAATGCTAAAATAAAGCATACTGACTTTTTTCCTTTTCTGTTCCTCCAAAGATCTCCATTTTTGACTAGGAGAAGGTCAAAACTCACTTGTCTAAGTGAAGAGCTTACAGGTTTACTTCACAGATATTTTCTGTTTTAAAATACTTCTCCAGAAGATTCCTGACCAGCCAGTTAAAAGTCTGTGCAGTATTTCTGTGCAAGGGTAAAACTCATCAAAGGCTAGATAGATAATACTTCCCTGTCCCTGGAGAGGTCTTGGTTAACTTGCATCCACTGGCAGAGAAAAGCAACCTTGATGGCCGCAGCAGGATCCTTCCCACCCTGGCTGACCATCTATTCTCCATGCAGAAGCCATCTTAGCATAGTTAAATGTGCAGTGTACACTGTGTTCCATACATTGCTCTGTGTTCTGTAGCCCCACACTGATTATTCAAATTAGCATTGTGAAAGCAAGCTTAATTTTCATGGAATACATTAGGTTGGTTTACTCTGGCAAAATAAACATCTAAAATGAGACACGACATGTCCCTCAGATGTCTGATGCAATTAAAAGTTCTAATAAAAATCCAATTATTTATATAAGAGCAACTGCTAATATTTAAGCAATTTTTAAATTAATTTTCTGGTGCCCATTTTATGTGTGTTCTTGAGGGGCCGATGGCATTTATTTTCCACCTCCTCTCACTTAAAAAAAAAAAAAAAAACAAAAAAACACAACCCAGCAGCCAAGTTCTAATGGTATTTGAATGGGCATCCAGCCAGCTTCCCGCGAAACAGCACTTGGGACATCTGTTCCTTATCCCATGCAGTTAAAGGCACGCCATCTTAATGTAAGCAAGAAGACAGATTCTCTGCCTACTTGCATTGGGATATATGAAGAATTTTCTTTTAATCGGAGCACAGTTTGATGGTGTACGAGTCCCTTGTTTGTGTTTCTTAGTAATCTTATATATGAACCTGAATTTGGGGCAGTATCTTTTCCTTCCAGCTCCAGTGATCTCAAATGATCTTTCAGGGTTGACTGTTACTGTCCGTGCTTGCATCATTATTGCTCTTTCCTGGGCTGAGCAGGGTAACAGCCCTTTGTGAGAGCAACTTCTTCATTTGCCAGTCTGAATATCTGAAAAGTCTCAGCAAATGGACAGTGCATAAAGGATAGGTCAACTGTACTGATCAGGTGGAAACAGCCCAGTGTATCTAGGATATTGTTTGGGGATTTCCAACCAGAAACGCAAGAAGATTAAGACTGAGGAAACCTCTGGATGTCTCCAGTCTGACCTCCTACTTGGAGCTGGGTTATCTTCAGCTGCACAGAGCCTTGTCTAGTTGTTTCATGTCTCCAGGAATGAGCTGTTCCATAGCTTCAAAACCTCTCTAGTTCCAGTGCTGCCCTATTCTCATTGTACAGAATTGTCTTTATATCTAGTCATAATTTCTTTCTGAGGCTTTTCTCTAGTGCCTCTTGTCTTTTTATTGTGTTCCTCTGAGAAGAGTCTGTCTCTGGCTTTCCCTTCTTTGAGCTATGCAAACACAGTTCCCTCAGTTTCTTCTCTCATATGTGTTGTGCCACAGCCTCTTGATCATCTTAGCAGCCTTCCTCACTCCCAGGATCTTAAACCTCCCCGTCTCATGGTGCACCAAGGCTGCTCTTGCCTATTGTGTCCTCCATTAGTTCTTCCTTATTCATGTGCAGCACACATGTCTTGCTCTAGAACAAATCACCTGGTATAAACTAGTTTACCTTCTCTAACTTACTACTGCTTAAATTGGCTGAGCATATGGACCACATCTTATATATGATATGGCATTACTTGCCTTGCTCTTCAATTTCTGTAAATAAGTTAGCCCAGACTCATAGCTAGGTATGTGTTCAGATTTTAAAAACATACCATGCAGCTGATAAACTGCTGTAACATAACAGTGAACAACATACTTATGGCCAAAGGGTTTAGGACTCCAGCATACTAAAAGTAGCAGGTCAGGTGTAAATCTAATCATAGTTGAAAATCGTAAGATGTAATGAAGGAAAATAGGCAGAAATATTCAATGTCTTAATATTTTCTTCTCTTCTGCCCATGAAGTAAAAGAGCATGTCCCTTCCGTGGAGCTGCAGATGACATAGAAAATGTACCATTTGTAATGGAGATAGAGTTTTTAAAGTGTTTCTTAAATTTTCTTTTTCATGTCGGCATGCCCTGTGTCCAGTCATAGTCTACCTCATCTCTAAATCTGCTGGTTTATGTTAACCAGAATTTTTTTCCTGATAAAAAGGGGGTTTTTTGAGGTTTTTTTTTTCCCCCTACATTTTTACATTCTTACAATAAAGCTTATAAGCTTTTAAATCTGTCCTAAAACAAGATGAAATATTCATTTGGAAGCATGATAACAAAAGGCTTTGACTTCAAAGATATTTTTAAATTTGAGTGCAGAAACAGCTCTGAGAATTTACAAAGTCTTGATTGACCCAAATCACTTTTTTAATAGAGGAAGACATTTGCTTCCTAAAACTTATTTGGCTGTCAGTTACCTGTGTCAGATGCGTGTCCTCCTTGCCTGCCCACTTGCTCCCTTGCTCTGTGGTATGTTGCAGGAGATGCTCTACCATGTCTAAAAGCCATGATGGTGGGTGTTGCTACCATGGTCTGCAGCAGGGTCCCAGGGAGCTTGGGAACTGGCAGTAGTCTTGCTACCATAACACAGAGCACAACAGGATTGTTCCTGTGCTCCCTTAGCGTGTATATGTGGAAAGGGAGAGCTTTGGAGATATGTGGGTGCTTCCAAGTGGAACTTCTCACCCAGTAATACTGGGTGTTATCACCTCGCTGCCTAATGAATGCTTTGAATGGTCTGTCACAAGTTTTCTATGCAAGACAAATTGGCTGTAGGGAATGAATGATGATGCCCATTTTATTTCATTATTAGGAGTAATATGCTCCATTTTTCAGTGGGGGGTAAAATTAGGGAAGAGGAATTGCTTATAAATAGACTTGTTAATTGCAGAAGGTTTTAGACCTTCATGGTAGTGAGAAAGTGGTAGACATTTAAGCTTGTTTTGCTTAGTGAGGTTTTTCAATGGTAGAGCAGTAGCTGAGTAGCTACACTGGGATGTGTTGATCTCCTCTGGGGATGGTATCAAAGTAGCAGTGTCCTTGACTCTAGTTGTTCACAGACCAACACCTAGGCTGGACTTCATTTGCTATATACAACTGTTGATATCCTCCCATGAAATCACAAATACAGTCACTGGCTTTGGTAAGACTTCAGCATACACTTTGGTACTTTACTGAATATGGTGCTTAAAAGCATGAAAAGTGGTTGAGAGTGGTGAAAAGAAACCTAGACTCAAGGTGTCTTGTTTTTAGGCAGCTCGCCAAGGGGAGTCATCCAGTCTTCCTTGGGAGCTGAGCAAGAAAATAAAGGGCATTCATGTGAAAGCGGGATTCATGAATCTGTTTTTGGAGACAACCCTGAAACCAGCTCAGCCAAGGCACCTGTTAGATATCTTGAGTAAAGTGGCTTTCTGTCTCCTGTGCTTTTTTCAGGTTTTATTTCTGAAAAGGTATCCACCTCTGACCTTTAAGTAAATCCACCAAGAGTTCAGGTCAAATGTAACCAGTTTACTGTTACATTTTGCACACCCTTTGGGCTCTGCTTTTTGTCTTAGAAATTGTGCAAATCCTGGGAATTTGGTTCAAACTTTGTACTCTGAACCACTGACTGCAAGGAAAGAATCAAGCCACAGTTCATTTTTTCTCCCCCTGGCCCCTTCCTCTCCATGTTGGGCATAGATGTGTTTGGTTTTTTTTTTCCTTTGGAAAGGAATCTAAACAGGCTTCTGTCTCCTCCTGTTACCAAAAATCGTAACCAAGAAAACTTGCTAAACCAAATGATAGTTTAGAAAGCCGACATTGGTTTGTTGCAGCGCCGGGTGCATGGGGAATCACTCCTCTGAGCATGCACACCGAGAAAAATGAAGATACATATTATATACCATGAGACACTTGCATATTCATAATACATTACATATTAATTGTTATTCACACTTAGGATTGGTTATAAGTTTCTCGCTTCTAATGTAAATTAGTACACATTCTCAGTAAGCACTAATGAAGCCTCTAAATTAACTGTGCATGCTCCCCAAGCGGGGTTTTGCCCTCTTTTGGGGGGGCCATTTGAGTTGGAGGTCGTGATCTCCCACTACCACAATTACTTCTGTCCTGCTCTCAGCTACTTTACTGTTTATGTCTGTGGGTTGTAATGTTTTATCAGCTTGGCTCCCTTCATGTCTAGGACTCCCTCTCTTGAAGGCCTCTCTCCACATTCTTGCCTACTGACTTAGATAGTGTCCCTTCTTTTATTATATGTTCTTTTTCTTGATGCTTCCCAACCTTGAGATGCCAGGCTAAAGAATGTGCCTACTTTTCTGTTAATTTAGCTGAATTATTTAACCCTTTGGTATCATTCCCCTCTGCAGCAATTCACAGGCTGTACATGAGGGACGTTCTTGGGAAACATCTTGTGGTTGAGTTAAATCCACGCATTACCTGGCAAATGCACATCTAACCAGTCTCTTCAGGATGGGGAGTTGATGTTAAGCTGGACTCTATTCCCTACTGTCGTACCAGGATTAACACTACCTTGGCCTGAGGAGCTATGGCATTTTGAATAGACCGTTTCAGCAAAAGCTGCTTTATCTTTCAGGGGTGATGTGAAATCAGCAGTGGTCCAGCTCCAAGGGAGGGAGAGGCTGGGAGATGGCACAGTGAGAAGGAGGACTGTTTTTCCTATAACTGATATGTGAAGACCCCTTTGTGCTGTGCTTGCCCCAGTGTGATGGGGCAGCCATAAAACATTGTAGATGATTTATAAAAGCAATTAGCTAGAGGATGATGTCCTTAAAGGTCAGCTGAAAAATAGGAGTACTTCACTGTGTGCTCTGTCACTCAGTCTTTCCTCTGCACTCTGCCCATTCACAGGTCTCCCCTGGGCTAATTTGAACACCCCAAAGCTCCTGAGACATTTCAAGCAAGCTTTTGCAATAAGTGAGTGTGTTAAAAAGCTGTGAGAATGCTTCATAAATGTGGAAGGGGCAGTCTGGCCTCGTGATTAGAGAACCAGAAAAAAATATTCTTGTTTCAGGGCAGTTGTGTGGGAAGAGACCTTGAGTGAAGTATTTCCATTGTGTGTTTTGTCCTCACATTTCTGCCTAACGCTGTGCCCATCTTTCCATATCCTGAGGTCCCTGGGACAGGGTCTAGTTAGTTCTTTGTAAGTTGAAGCACAAGGGTTCCGACAACATCTGGGTACTCTTGTCCTATAAATCTCAATGGAAACAAACCCATGCTAATGCCTTGGTGCTCAGTCTATCAACGCTGACAGGCCTCTCCTCTTCAAGCCCATTCTGTTAGAAATGTAGCAAAAACCTGACAGTACATTAATGTATATGCTCATGGGAAAGGTCTTTCAATGAGATACAGGGTCTACTTAGAATCAAGCAATAAAGTAATTGAGAGGAAGTGGTTACAATGCTTTAATCAATAAGATTGCAGTAAAATTGAGTATTGAAAGGTCTTGTCGTATTCCATCCTATCTAGTGCTGCTTGTGAATGAGGAGCAGTGTTCAAGTCCTGGAGTGGAGCACTAGCTCTTCCTGAGTTTCTTCATTCCCTTGACAGCAGGGATCACAGGGGCAGACACACAGTCAAGTTAATTTGCATCCTTCTGACTGTGGTCACTGTCTGTATACTCTTTTAGCAGATGGTAAATGCAAGAAAGTGTGACTAGGCTTAAATCTGTTTCAGGGTGAACTAAGCTAAGCTGTGTTGTTGTTTGCCACTGGCAAAGATGTGTACATGTGCAGTTACCACAGCTCAGCTAGCCTACAGAAAGATGTTGAGATGTGCTAGCTTGACTGCATGTATGAGCCTTTAGCATTGCAAAGGCAGTGATCAGACAGACTGATGGGTGTGTTAAGGCTTCTGGGAAGCAATTGTATTCAGTACTTTGAAAATTTCCTTTTGACATTGGCCCCTTTCCTGTAGCTGGAAGCAGGAGTTTTGATTCTAGTTCAGTATCTTTTGTTAAGATCCAGGAGTGGAGTGGGCTGGCCCTGGGGCAAAAAGCAGCAATGGCCACGCAGGGTGATGTCTCATAACCTTTGCTTTTCTTTTCCTTCTGCAGCCCTTTTCAATCTAATTCCTGTGGGTCTTCGTGTGGTGGCAATCCAAGGGGTGAAGGCAGGTCTGTACGTTGCCATGAATGCCGAAGGATATCTCTACAGCTCAGTAAGTACTTTGCACTGGGTTTCCTGGAGTGGTCTGGATTTGTAGGTGGAAAGAAAGAGACTGCGTTGGGACTTGCAGCTTTTTCTGAAAATGGTCACGTATTAGCAAACCTTTAAAAGCAGGAACGGGGGAAGCTGCTGCAGGGCTATGCAATATTCACTTTAGAGTGTCTCCATGGAGATTTGTGGCTGTATTTCCTGACCTGTGAAGGTACACTTTGTGTTCCTTTGAGTAGTTAGTTACTTAATGTAGGTCATGTTGTAGAAGAGGTTGTGTGGTTGGCTGGTTGCATTCTGGTTTCACATTTGTGAAATGGCATGGACTGAATGGAATTGCTTCTGAATGGTGCCTGGATAACTGGTCATAGGTGGTGCCCCAATGGGTCATACTCTGCTTTTCACTGCAGTGTAAATCCACGGCAATACACTGACTTCATTAAAATGATTCTGGACTATTCTGTTGGCAGAGTGCTTCAGCAGAGCAGAATTTCCCTGTATTTGTGTGGTCTTTTTAATGCACGTAAAAGATAAGTGAGGCATTTTTTTACTGACTAATTCTCCTATAACTTTCTTAGATGGTATGAAAGGGCATGAGGTTATTCATAAGATTCTCATTTGAAGTAAGTAATTGATTTTCACAGTGAATAATTGATTCAGTGATTTATTAAATATGGCAGCCCTTTGCCAGAATTTTTTATGCTTCAAATAACTTTGCTCTAGTTCTACATAGTAAAAAGTGATAGTTAATAATACACTTCTTATTTCTGTAGTTATATCTTTAAAGTGTATAGCTAAGATTCTAATCTCATCTGCCTTTGTGTAGATTTACGGTGCAGCAATTCTACTCTTGTCTAGGCATTTACTTTGCTTTAAAAGTGTATGTGAGAATAGAGACAGGACCACCTAAAGGACAACAGTTTGAGTTGCTCCTGTCTTTTTTTTTCCTAACTCTTACCCATCCCTCTTTGTTCCTGGTCAGCATTAAACTGCTCATATGGTTGGGATTTCCCCCTTTCCCTTGGGAGGTAACAAAGCTCTGTCTCCCCAGCAGCTTAGGGTAGAAAATGGCAAGTGAATGTGTTAGTATGCGTGGCGAGATAGGTCTCAAAACTGGCTGCTTGTCAAGAAGAGACAGAGAGATCAATCTGGATCTCTGTGGATGCCAGACGCTTCCTGTTCTTTCATAGCCCAGTAAACATAAATGACTACTTCTAAATAAATTACATTGGTTTGCTAACAATGAAAACTTCCTCTTTTGTAAAGCTATCAGAGTCCTAAAGGTAATACCAAGCATGGTGTGGTACTGCATTATCGTGCGTGCTTCCCTCTAGGCACATAGTCAGGGGGGTCAGGACTGATGCTTTTCCCTGTGTTTGTGCAGTGCTGGGCATAAAGGGTCCTGGCCCAGTGCTGAGGCTCCTTGTACCACTGGTGCCCTGTAAATGAGGACTGCAGGAAAGCAGTGTGTGTGCGTCAGAGCCACATCCAGCCTCAGGGGGTCTTTTTTGAGCAGTGAGGAATCAGCATTTTCTGAACAAATAGTGCAAGGGAGGGAAAGGTGTGGGGATCAGGCAAAAGAAGAAATGAAGAGTTGGAAACATGATGTTTGACAGCTGAGAAATTAGACTATGCAGAGGAAAAGTATCTCTCGCTAGCAATAGTGAGATGATACAAAGGGTGGGAGGGACATGCCAAGAGGTGGTGGGCAGCAGGAGGACCATGTGTCCAGGAAACACATCTGCTAGTCATATGAAGTGTCCTAAAAGGCACCGGATCATACATGTGCTCAAATGAGGGTCATTTAATGGAGCTTGCTTATTCCCAGCAAATGTGCTTTTCTTAAGTAGTAGGTTTAGTCAGGGAAGGCTAAGGATGCACTGTGATGGCCAGTGGTTAATGAAGTAGACCTCATTACATGCCACAGCTTGATGGCATTCAGCTCTGTATGAACTAGTAAGAGTTAAACTGTTCATTTTGTCAATGAGATCCAAGGTTTCTGCTTGCAGTAAATGGATGTTACTGACTCATCTCTACTCCAGGGAGATGGAACTTGCTGGACACTATTTTCTTGTATTGACTGGTGGTTCTCTGTCTTACAGCAGTAGATCAATGAATTCACTGTGCTTTGGAGCAGATCTCAAGGCAAGAAAAAAGAAAATTTGTGAATAAAACCTGTTAAGAGCAGAGAGTGTGGGTCAGGCCATTCGTAGCATCAAAGACAAGGGATGGGACCAAGGTGCTACAAGAGAACTCGACACGGCTGAGAAGAACTCAGCCTGTTCAAGCAGTCTCTTTTGGATACTGCAGCTTTCCTTGTGGGGCCAGGATCCCACTCCAAGCCAACATTTGTCATGGGTATGCCAGTCTCTAAGACAGTGCTGGGGAATTGCTTTGGCAGGACTTGACAATCTGTTCCTCTCTGGGGCAAGCAGGGCCCCTGGCCGTGCCGCCTGGACCTGATTGCTGCCTGCACCAAAGTGCACCTGCACCACTGTCCCTGTTCCTTTGTTTAGCAGACCCTAAATGACAGCTTTGCTCTGTTTCAGGCCAGTTTGCTTTGGTGTTGTGCTTGTACCTGTTTTTTTCACTAGCCTTTTCAGAGGGACTTCTGAAAAATGGGCCAATATTTGCCATAGATACTGTTCATTCATGCAGATCCATTGATAAATGAACTTTTTCTCCTGCTTGGCTGCCTCCCCTGCTGTCTGTCCCAAGCCTAGCTCTGCTAGGACTTCTTATAATACCATGAAGCCCAGGACTGCTTTCAGCTAAAATGCAACTGTCCAGGGAAATATTTTTTGTTTGTTTTTTTTTTCTCCTCATCTTGAGCCTAGATTGTCGCTGTAACTGAACACATCATCGCTGTGGGTTTGTTTTGTTTCTGCTTGGTGGGGGGTTTTTTCTGGTGATATTTAATCTGTGTGCGTCAGCTGAGACCTTGGCTGACATCCTCTGCCCTGGATCAAACCAGAGGCCATTATTAGCCTGGTCTCAGAGATGGTTTGTGCCAACTTCTTCCAAGTTTGGGCCAATGGGCTCCTGAATGAATGAGTTTAGAATAACCGCCCCTTGGAAAAAGTCTTCCTGGTGCCAATCAGCACAAAAGCAGGGCTGAGTGGGGTCCTCTAAAGCCAAACTCGGTGAGAAAGCTCTTTGCAGAAACATGCAAGACCCTCTTATGTGCTTGGCCACACTAATACCTTTAGAAATGAGTTTCCTCATCTCTTCTGTTCAGTTAGGGATGGGTAAGGACAGTGTGGGGTTGGGTTGCTGGGTCGAAGCCAACCATAGATCCCTAGCCAGCTTCAGAGGCCTAAATGCATTAGATGCCAAAGCCTCTGCTTGGGAAGCAGCTGTTTGACTTTTGTGTGTTGTTTATTTACACTAGATACCTGATTTTTTTTTTCTGAGATCTGGTGGGGAGCTCGCTGCTTAGTAGGAAAGAAAATCAGGTCTTGGTCTGAGGCACCTGGCTTAGCAGACAGTAGGATGCAAAACACTCTTCATAGCAAGCTTGTGGAGTCATTGTGCTCCAATTTGATTTCTTGTGATGTAGAGCAGCTGTAAATTCCCTGATGGTGCATGAAGGTTTTTATCAGCACGTGCTCTCGGGAGTGACTTGACTCTCCTGAGGATCAACTGTTAGCATTTTATGCTAAAGTGAAAGTATACAGAATCAGTGAAGGGCAGTATTACTTGTACTGTCTTAGCACCTGGGAAGCTGAGATCAAAGGCTGGTTGTTGCAGAGGAGAGGGAAACATAGAATGAAGAGGTACGTTCTGCTCCAGTGAGTTTACAGCCTAATTGTTACGGGAGAAGACACAGAACATGCTCTCCTGTCTCTGTCTGGAGTTAATAGTTCCACCACCAAATTAATTCCTACTCCCATATCACCTTTCTCTGTGAGGCTTCTCTCTTTGGCACCCAACTTTCTCTCTGTTACCCTTGCTTCAACTCACAGGGGCATGGGGAAGGGAGTGCCTGTGAAGTGTTTTGCCTGAGAGGCAAATCTGGTTCTCCTGGAGCAGATGCTTATCATGGGCCTGTAGAGTCTGCACAGGCCCACCCAATCACTCCAAGTACACTGTAATTGCAGCTCTCAATATGATGATATGTATAATTCAGTGGTGTTACAGCTGGGATTGGGTTTTGCCCCAAGTGCATAACACTTCTCTTCTAAAATGTACTGCTCTCGGATATTCCTTGTTGTTTAACTCAGAGTTCTAATTATTTTTGAAATGGCAAATTGTGATACATAATTTATTGGAAAGACTGAGAAAACCCTAGCAGAGATACAGAATACAGAGGAAAAAAATGGGTCGCTTATGAGAGCTCAGTATGGCTTTACAGTATAAACCTGTGAGTTTGAAATGCTGAAATTAGAGCTTGAATCACTTCAAAGATTCCTGCTAATAACAGAATGATTATGCACAATAAAAAAAAATCTAAACAGCATTGAAAAAAACAAGTCACATTAAGAGCTCAGTGTGTCTTTGCATTTTCTTTTTCTCTGCTGTTTTTTCTGCCTTTATCATTTTGCATAATAAACATGTCTTGCATAATAATAAACAAGCATCTGGGGAAGTATGTATATTAACTGTATTTCTTAATCTGCTTGCGATGCTATAACTATTTTGCTACAACTCCTCTAGGGTTGCTGCACTCTTATTTCTGTCATTTCAAGGTCAGGGGCTGGAATCAATAATGCTGCATTCTCTCCCCTTGCTTGGGGTGTTAAACCTGCTCCTGCCAATGCTATTTCTTTAATTCCTATTTGACCTCCAGTGGTGCTAGTTGATTCGGTCAGAAGTACAGATGGGCCAGGCAGGTATGCTGGACATCTCCCTTTTGCAAACTTTGCAAGCAAGGACACTTGCTGGGGGGATTCCCTAGTTTACATGCCTCATTAGGGAGGCAGGTCAGTGGATAGAGAGAGAAATGGCTCCACAGGCAAAGCACAGCAGGAGCCCAATGTAATGTGCTTTTAATTGCCCTCCAGA